TCTGAATACTGATGAGCCCCAGGGCCACCTCTCCAGGCTTCCACAATCCCAGGTCAATGTGAGGAGCTCCTACTTTACAAATGGAACCCCCGTGTGCAGTGTTGCCCTTTCCCAGGTCCCCAGCCCCCCAAACTGCCACCTTGGAGGCATATCAGGCCAGCTGTGAAGAGATGTTTCCTTTTTACACAACCTCTTGCCTGCCGGTGGGGAGATCCCTGTTCCAACCCTATTTTCTCTTTGTCTGAAGACTCGTACCCCCATTTGGGGTAGGGACATTCTCTCTGGCATCGGGCAGGACTTATCCTGTCTATGGGAGGGAACCATTGCTTGTCCCGGGTAGAAGTCAGTATAAGATCCCTCAGTGTGGACAGATGAGGGGAGCATAGGCCAGCTACAAGGCCTAACCTGTTTCAACACATTTAAAAGGTCCCACCCAATTTCCCCAGCAGAAGCAGTAACCACCAAAGCCTGAAGTGACAGAAGGATCCAAGTCTATCATCTTGGCCCTTAAAACAAAACAAAACAAAACAAAACGCCAAAACCAAAACAAACAAAAAACAGGGACCCCTAAGAGAATGAATGTTCCAGCCCCTAGAACCTACTTATTTGGGGAGTTCAAAAGACATCTAATGAATGGAAAGTTAGTAGAAGACTTCAGACTAGTTGAAGCCATGGTCCCCTTTCACCCTGCCCTTCCAACTCCTTATACACCCCTGACCCCCCAGATTCAGCCTTGAGTCACTTACTATTCTGTCTGGATTTGAAGCACGCCCTTTTCTATATCTCTCTGCACCTAGATAGTCAGCCTATTTTTGCCTTTGGAGACAAAACTTTAAAGGCCAGATAAGACCCAGAAGATTTAGGGTCAATTCCTATTTGTTAGTGCCGGTCTTGGCCCAGGCCCTCACAGACCGTGGAACCCCCATGCATCCACATGTAGATAGTAGTCTGTGAGGCACTGAATATATACTCCACCAGGGACCTGAGTGTCTCCCTAACTCTGCCAGATCCCTGTCTTCTCAACTTTCTAGCCATAAGTACATGATAAGTATATGATCTCTTGAGAAAAGCCCAATTAGCCAACCTTGAGCCACATACTTGGGGTGATACTGGGGGTTGAAAAGGCACAACCTGAACTCTGAATGGACCCATCCTACCCTGAGCTCCCCACCTCACAGTGTCAGGCGACTGAGCATCTTCCTCAGGGCTATGGGCTCCCAAAGAATACAGATTCCTGGATTTGCAGAACTGGCTAATCCTCTTTATCACCTCAACAGGGGTCCAAACTACCCCTCAGCATCCCTAATGTGGGAGCCTGAGGTTAATCATCTCTTCCAGCACTCAAGGATGTACTCAGTAGAGCCACTGGGTTTGCCAACTCAGTCCCAACTTTCACTGTCTGTTGCTGAAAGGGAAATGGCCTGGGCATTCTGACCCAATCAGTAGGACCCCACCACACACAATGGGATACCACAGCAAGGAGTTAGACTCAGTGACAGAGGGATGTCCAACATAGATGTCAGCTGTGAGGCTCCTGGTCCCAGAGGCCTATAAATGAACCCTAGAGAAGCCCCTCACTGTGTACTCTCTCCAAGACATTGGGGAAATACTTAATTCTAAATGACACTTAATGCTGTCAGTCTCCTGACGTCAGGCTCCCAATGGAGGGACCAGAGGGACCATTAAGGTCTGTCCTTTCCTCGGCCCTGCTACTTGCCTCCTTGACAAGGAAAGTCTTGAGCAGTCATGCCAAGAGGTCTTGCTGGAACCCTCCACTGCTAGGCTTTGTCTTAAAGACTGAACTCTGTCAACTGGTGGAACTTCATCTCTTTGGGATGGAGCTCGTGAGCGAGGGTACCCTATTGTAACAGGATAGGAGTCTTGGCTCAGGCTTCAGAGCTGTAGTGAGAAACAAAGGGCAAATATCTAACCTGACTCCAGAAACGCACATCTGGTTCTACACACTCATGCAGCTAGCTGGAAGGAATGAGGGTTAACAGTATCTGGGACCCCCATACAGTGGGGGCAGTTCAGCTCTCATTTATGTGGCAGCCATGCAATGCACTGCGGAGACATCAAGAGGGGGAGGACTCGGTGACCCCTGGGAAGCCACCTCACAGGTTCTGATGCTAAAACAGCTGCATTGAGACCGGAGGGACTGCCCCGCTGAAACAGCTAGCTTGGTGTCAACTTGACACGAGCTAGCATCATCTGAGGGGAGGAAGCCTCAATGAAAATGCCTCCAGAAGATCTAGCTGTAGGCAAGCATGTAGAGCATTTCCTTTATCAGTGATTGGTGGGGGAGGGTCCAGCACATTGTAGGTGGGGCCAAACCTGGGCTGGTAGTCCTGGGTTCTGTAAGAAAGCAGGTTGAGAAAGCAGGTTGAGCAAGCCGGTAAACAGCACGCCTCTGGAACTTGTGCATCAGCTCCAGACTCCACACTGGTTTGACTTCCTGCCTTGGCTTCTCTTAATGGACTTGTGATTCAGGTATGTAAGCCAAAGTAATCCCTTTCCCCCCATATTGCTTTTGATCCATGGTGTTTCACCACAGCAACAGTAACTAAGACACCCTCCAACCCCTGGGAGGCCAACCCCCAAAATGGAAGAGGTTCCCAAAGATGGCTGTATCCTGGACCATCACGGACAGTGGGTTGCCCCTGAGAGTCATGAATGGCTGCCTGGTTCCTTGCAATGGGGAATTTTAAAACCTCTCCTTTAATCATATAAAGGGAGGGAAAACTCCATCTAAATTGCAAGGAAAATGTTTATGGGGAAGGGACTATTAGATGTTACCACTGGATGGATGGTTCAGAGATTTGAGATATGCCAAAAAGACCAAATGGATGTCTCCCTGGTGCAGAGGCAAAGAACCCGGAGACTGCTGGATCCAGGGGACCAAAGGCCTGTCCTTTCCTTGTGTGAAAACACTTCCACTGGCGGGGCTGAAGCCTAGCCTTGCCAAATGTTGAAAAGGCACAGGAGGGATGAACTGTTCAAAATGAAATAATTACTAGGTTTGGAGTACCTAAGGATATACAGTGACAGTGGACCGGGCCTTCAAGGCAGAATCCACCCGGGTGTTTCCTGGGCCTTGGAGATCGGATCACTTACTCTCCACTGCACCTGGTACCCAGAGCCATCTAGAGAGAGATAAAACAGCAAATGTATGTTACTAAAAAGGCATCTTGCTAAACTATTGCAAGAAACTCTGAACTCCGTGAACAAAGTTGCTACCCTTAGGCTTGATAGTTTAAGGACAATTGGAATTGGTCTCCTTGGAATCCTTGTAGAAAAGCTTTTCCTTTCAAGGGATGTGTTACCTGATCCTGAAACTAGCCATCTGCAAGTTTCAAATCCTTTCAGAATTTTAACAAGGGGCCCTAGAATGAAGGCCATGGGAACTCCCGACTGTGTCCCGGGGACCTAACTCTGGTCAGAAACCCCCTCCTTAAGTCCCTGTTGGAAGCAGCCTTCTGTCATTTTATCTATGCCTATGGAAGTTAAGGGATGGCACGGACTCTGGACCTGTCACACCAGGGACGAGAAATGACACTTTACACTGTCCCCACCTAATGAGAAAGCACCCTTTTCAAAAGGAGATTCAACTCCAATGAGCTGCTGGAGGCTTGCAAAGTCCCAGACAAGCCCTATCCTGTTTGTTCTCTTCACTACCCCCAAAGGGGTTTTGTTCAGCCAACTGCCCGAGTGGGAACGGTCACTGAAGGCTGGGCTATGCTCATCTTACTGTCCCGGTCACTGAAGGCTGGGCTATATTCATCTTACTGTCCCGGTCACTCCAGGCTGGGTTAGGCTCATCTTACTGTAATGGCCTCTGCTGTTCTCCCCACTCTTTCTGCCCTGTGGCTCCTATAGCTGGTCCTACAAGGGGATGCATCGCTCACTGCGATTGTATTGCAGTCTCCCATGAACTGGCTTCGGAAGAATGCCTCATGGAGGTTTCTCTCTCTTTCTTTCCTTCTTTCCTTCTTTCTTTCTTTCTTTCTTTCTTTCTTTCTTTCTTTCTTTCTTTCTTTCTTTCTTTCTTTCTTTCTTTCTTCCTCTCTCTTTCTCTCTCTCCCTCACACACAAACATACACAGACCAACTCCCCCTAAACCCTGCCCCTCTCAGTGGCTGTCAATCTCCGAGAAAGGGGGCCTGAACAGGACTTAGAGGAACACACGTAGGCAGGAAAAGTAAAGGCAGACTCCCAGAGATGGCAGCTTCTAGCTTCCAAAACACACTGCCAGGGAAAAGCATGAAGGTGGGTTTTTAAGTAGGACCAATAGGGAGAATGGAGGACCTGGACGCGTCATGGAATGAATACCCAAGCCAGTGTCAGCTGAGTGGACCCCGGTCTTAAGCCCCTCCACCCCCCGGAGTGATTGCTTTTACTTTCCATGGCTTGGTCTTCTTTTTGGTTATCCAATTTTTTTTGTCTGTCCAAGGGACTAACCTTGACCTTGAAAACCCCTGGACAAGGACCCTGTTATAAAAAGGCTGTTACAAAAAGGCTGTTACACCCCCGTTACAAAAGGCTGCACTGCCTTCTCACTAAATCCAGCCAGGCCCAGAAGGTCAAGTTCACTGTCCCCCAACAACCTTCAAGGGCAGATTTTTTTTTTCTTTTCTTTCTTTTTCTTTTCTTTTCTTTCCCTAAGAGTGTGCTGACTTCGGGGCAGGTGCTGGGAGATCAGGCCAGAGCCTACTTCTGTGGCATTTTGAAGCAGAGAAGCCCTTGTCTGAACCAACTCTAGGGGTTGGAGACGTTTTTTATTGTTTCATTTCATTTGAGATAGGATCTCCTTGAGGATAGGCTGCCCTGAAACGATATAGCCAAAAAGGGCCTTGAACTCATGCCTCTGCCAGGCGCTGAGATTATACGCATGCCAGTGAAGCTTTAAGCCTTCTCCCCACCCCAGGAGTCCACAAAACCCCCACTCTGGCTGTCGCCATATCCTAAGATCCCCGCACCCCCACAGGAAGCATCACTCCGGCTTTTGAATCAGTTACAAAGTTTACTAGTCATACAACAAGGCTCACTAAAGCGATGGGAGATTCCGGTGATGGCGTTGTTTCATGGGTTGGTTTCTTCTATCAAGATGGAGACAAGATGTCTTCCCACAGGACTGCCCATCTACCTGCC